CTTCGGTTACATTCATTAAATCTGCAAACCAGTGTAGCATCAAACTATGTCTAATATCAAAGTCTTTATGTTTGGACAGTTTAGAATGAGTTCCAAATAGCATGGCTTCAGTTTTGGTGGTATTAAGAAACAAGCTGTTTACTTGAAGCTATTCACCCAATGTATTCAGGTCCTGATTCAGATTGTCTTCGATGACTTTAGAGTTAGATCCGGCACAAAACAGAACGGTATTATCTGCGTATATAAGCACATTACAAATCTTAATGCAGAGGGGCGAATCGTTGATATGAATAACAAAGAGTAGAGGGCCCAATATGGAACCTTGTGGAACACCAGATGTTATGTGTGGAGGATCAGATGAGGCGCCACCGACGCCAACAACTTGGATGCGGCTAGACAGATAGTTTTCAAACCAGTTTAGCTCTTTGCCTTTGATTCCAAGAAAGTGCAGTTTCCTAAACAAAATAGAATGATCTATTGTATCGAATGCCTTACGCAAGTCCACAAAAACTGCTCCCGTCATAAAACCCTGATCAATATTTCGCCGGACATCCAAACCAGTCGCTAGACACTTTAATCTTCCATATCATTCTAAACAGCATATGGCAGTTTGCGGCCTTTCCTTACATCTAGGCAGTTCGGAAAGCCGTAAAACACTAGAACAAAAATTTATATTCCAAATCGGCACCCTTAATCCCCACGGAATCAACGAGCGCTTTTCATTCAACTAATTTATTCCTGTTTTCTCGTCACCACATTCCCACGAATGGCGTAGCTCCACTTCCTACATATAAATCCACACACAACCCACAATTCCTCTAATCGCTCTGACGAAGGGCTAACGCTCGAAACGTCAGCTTTTTTACCCTTTACGGTGGCTAATTTACGTTTTCAACCCAGTTGTTAACACTAAATTACCTGTGACCCAGAAAAGTGAACACAAAAATTTTCTAGAGTAACAATACGCTGGCGCGCGCGCCAACATTAAACAAAGACTACATGGAGCCTCCTTAAAGGAAAATAACCGCTGTCTCGCAAAATAAGTGAAAGATAATTGAAAAGTTTCTAGAAATCAGTAAAAGCTGTGAGACCACATGGTCGAGGGTCTCCAAGGGTTCAACCGGTAGCCTTTAAGTATAAAAATTGTCAAATTTTGACTAATAATCGTCAAAAAGTTAACTGTTGGAAAAATTTCTGGTGACAACAATTTAGATGGAATGTTATTAACCGTCAGGCCTAAAAGCCATCACCCCGTTGAAACCCTCTTGGCTCTGAAAGCCTTAAAGCACCTACTCATTACAACACATGCGCAGAAGTTTGACCACTTGGTTGTAACATGTAGTATTAATTTTTTATGATGCAATCTCAGTCATTGCACCTACGCAGCTTTCGGTTTATTGAGTACTCGCTTTCGGTTATCGTTATTGGAAATTCTTCGGGGACTTTTCACCAGTCTGACACTGAAGAGTCATAGAACACGCCAGTTACTTAACGTTTTCTTTCCTTTTTCGTTCCCTTCACTTTACACTGCAATGCAGTTAGAGCCTGATGAGTAGGTTACAGCTTTTAATTTCCTTCCGCACCGTGCACGATGATCATCTGTCATTTTGTGTCACTCTGGGTGAATAATGTAGACAAGCTACATTAATGGGTTGAAATGACCATTGTAGACGGTATAGATTGTTAGGCGGGAGATTGGGTTCCGCTCTCTTGTAGGCTCCTTGGCAGCCCGCGGGGGCTCAGTGGGATGTCACGGTACGCTACACCAAAGTTCTCTTGGCAGAGTGTTGCGTGACATCCGAACAGGCATTCTTGTTTCATAAGATATCATTTATTTATGGCCATGTGTTTAGAGAGACGATTATGGTGGCAAGTGATTACAGGTGGCCCAGTGTTAAGAATAGGGCGCTCTACGAGAAAGAAGCTCGAGTAACATGATACACAGCGGCTCGAGCTCCTAGTGGAGAAACCGTCCCAAGTCTCTCTCAGCCTTACTACTCGAAGCCACGAATAACTCCCAAAACTGTGGTGCGTGCTAGGATACCATTCAAAAAATTTAGCTACTTCTTTTGGATTTGCTGAGAAAGCAGTGGCTATGAAGTAAGTCCTAAACGCGTATAAAACATATGAATCCAAATATTTCCTAAAGAAACCGACCAGAATTTTGACGAAGCAAACATTCACTGACTCGATAATAATGTTGTGTATTCATGCTGAAAAAACACTATAGTTGGTGTTAACTACTTGGGAATACCTGACCATGGCTTTCTGTACCGCATTAATTCGATTTAACGCCGCGGCGTTCGTTAATTTTTCTTGATTCGAGTGCAGCGTCTTAACGAGGGCGGCGTTTCTTTAAGATACAATTTTTTTTCTTGCAAACGATAGTATGTGTTTAGTGTTTGTCTTAAAAGTCTTTTTAGATCGTTCTCAATTTCACAATTTGCATGTTAATACTACCACAGCAATAGTTTAAGTGAATAGAGCGAATAAAGATCTGATGTCGGATATGCTTTATCGACATCAGACCTGGTACATACAAAAGGATTTGTGTCTGGTTCATTGAAAATTTAAAACTGCGATCGAAGCATTGATGAATGCGTGCTTTTTGAGTCTATTATCCGAATAAACGCCTCATCATGTTGCGGCGTTTATTCGAGGGCGGCGTTTATTGACATTTCTGTACTAAAATGTAGTGTTTATTCGAGGGCGGCGTTTAATCGAATAAATACGATATGCAAATTTACGAATGAGAGAGAAAATGAACCCTCTGATAACTAAGACCATTAATAACTTTGGGAATCTCAACCAGATGAAGTTCAGAATGACACTGAATTTACAGCTAGTTAGTTTTCTCTTTGCGAGTAAAAAACACAGAGATGTCATGATTGGTACTTTAGTGATTACTTAGAGTGTATCAAAGGGGAGGTCCTGATCCTGTTTCACTCACAATTAAAATTAAAAAAAAAAAAAGATTCACGCATCATCAATATAAAAGGGAAAACTTCAAATTTCTCCTCTTGTGTACAAGATTTCTGGGAAATCTGAAATTCACAAGTCATCTCACGCTTATATTAAAGGTCACATGGCAACCAGGTGGACAATCAGACATAGTTTGGTGCTACTTTGATTTACAGATTTAATGAATGTAACCGAAGAAGTTACAATTCATAGACCTAATGTTTCGACACTCCTGTCTAGTGCCTTCATCAGGGGTGATCTAAACGCTGCAACAAGAGGTCCTTTTATATGATCACTAATTAGCGGCCTTTTTTCTGACGAGGTGTAAATGGCTTCAGGAAGCAAACTGCCATCGTCACGATTTAAAGGAGCATGGGCAGAGTTAATATGCCAAGCCTCCAAACAAAGGTGCTGGTGGTAACGCCGATTAGTGGTGATAATTTTAGAATTATCCCACCCAATTGTATGGTTAGTTAGGCATGTGTTCTCTGATAAAGCTGAATATACCTTTTTGCAAAAGAAAACCGCTTTTTGATGCTCTCTTAAACATGTACCAAACTGACATTTGGTCTTGGTCTGGTCATCTCATGCTTGTTCATAAATATACGAATCACATTCGCCTTCACATAAAATTCATGCATCACATCGTAAATCTGGCCCTGGCTTAATCATGTATAAACCCTTTTCCACTCTCTAGACTATGCTGTTTGCATTCTTAAAAGATATTTTTCTTCCCTCCCATAGTACCTAGTATTTCATTTTGCTGGTCTTTGTATGTTTGAGGAGTATTCTATTTTTAGCTTATTTATATCATACAAGAGTTGTGTGTATTTGTGAAAAAAAAATCAGTTTATTAGTAGTCTTGTAATATTTAACATTGCTTGCTATTTTTCTTCCCTTCCATAACACCCAGTATTTCATTTTGCTGGTCTTTGTATGTTTGAGTAGTATTTCATTTTTAGCTTATTTATATCATACAAGAGCAGGGCGTGAAATTAACTTTTTTTTCTGACAGCCACTTGGCTCCTAACTTCTTCAAAGTGGTAGCCAATTCAAAAAAAATTGGTCGCCATTTTCAAAGACAAGCAAAATCTTTCTTTACGCTGTCAGCTTTCTAGATAGACCCTCCAAAATTAAGTTTGGGAAAGATCTTTAACGTGCTACAAAGTGGACACTAGGATGGATGATATACAACTTTCAGGCTCATCTAAATCCAAGATGGCGTCTAGTTATCGATCGAGATGCATGTGCTACGTTTTGGAAACAAACTTAATGAGGAAGTTTGCCGCGGATTTATCTTTGCAAATCTTTTTAATTCACTATATCTCTTGGTAAGGTTATGATGAAACGTTCTAGTCGCCAATTTGGCGACTAACTTTCAGGATTTGGTCGCCGAAGTGAAAAATTTAGGCGCATTGGCGCCTGTATTAGGCGCAATTTCACGCCCTGAACAGTTGTGTGTATTTGTGAAAAAAAGTTAGTTGATTAGTAATCTTGTAATACCAAACTTTGCTTGTAGTCATGTTTCGTGATTTAGGTCTTTAAAAGTTTTACTGGGTCAACAAAGATGCCAATACCTGGAGCTTATAGTTATACATAGTCCTTAGGAATCATGTTTAGAAATTAATACAAGATGCTGAAATTTCTAACTAAGGGAGAAATTTGCAAGAAATAAAAATAGCATAAAAGGAAGGTCCAGGGCAAAAATGTGGGATGCAGAAACCTCCAAAAAAGAAAAAGAAAATGTGAAATTCAGAGTTCTCTTACAGAAGTTAAGCATTGTCACTCCATGGTCAAGGTGCATGAGTGACACGAACAGTCCCTTCTTTTAAGTACACATGCGTGTCTTGCAGCATTACATGGACACATGATGCATGAAATTTTCACAAATGACAGGAATATTGGATGCAAATCCCTTGAAAAAATAGTCTGAAATGTATGAAATTTAAAGAAAAAAAATTAAATTATTTTGAAATGAAAAGGTTTGACCTAAGTTCAAAGCAAAAACCTTTGTGGTAAGGGCATTACTGACAATAAATGAAAATTGCTGTTTAATTTAAAGATTACAGTATCTAGTATATACTAATACATGGTTATCTTTGTGTACAATAGGGTAAGACTTGGCTCAGTCATGTCTATTTTTCCTCAGTCTTGGGGAGTAATGTTGATAGCATGCCCAATACTCATGTTGGTAATGGTCATGTCCTTATTTGTAATCAGCCCACATTGGATTGAAAGCTACAGGTAGATATATTTGGCTTTTTGTGAATTTGTTATTTAACTAAACCTCTCCTTAACCTTTCCTTGGGCTGATGGCTTCATAAACAGGAAAAAAGTATTTAAATACTAGATCAGAGGTAGTGCTCTCAATAACTGGAATAAAGTGATAATGGAGGCATAAATGGTATGTTACAGCCACAGCATGTAAGCTAAGGCAACAGTGGTAGTAACACTTGCCAAGATCTTTACAACTTAAGGTTACTTTCCACCTTCAGAGGCCGAAAAAATTGATTTTTCTTTTATTTGAATAAACTGAATTCAAACTTTTAACAAAATGTTTCCACAAAAAAATCTTTTTTGAAATCTTTAAAAGCAACTGAATTATTTAGAAAACATATTTTCAAATTAAAGGTAGTAAATCAGGAAGGAGTCATAATCTTGGACCTGGGTGAGTCCCCTGGGGGGAACTTTAGCAGCAACCACTCTTCTTGGGGCTCATTTTTCATGCTATTTCTGTATCTTGTCCACATCGCACACTTGACAAAATTTACAGGAGGAAGCCCTTTGCTTATAAAAAAAATCTTTGAAGATTTGCAAAATGTTTGGGATCTGTTTGGTGATTTCCAACACAGTTGATTAAACCCTTTACACGCTAATATTCTCCATACTGTTCTCTATAAATCTCCTAAGGACAAGGAGAATGTGTTTAACAATCAAGAGCTTCTTTAGTGGGTGATCATTTCCTTTTTTCTCATGACCTTAAACTGTGATTCAGGGGTGACACTGTAAGAAGAAATTAGATGCTGTTCACTGTTTAGGGCCCAAGAGTTGATGTGTAGGGAGTAAGGAACAAAGTTTTAATAAATCACAGCTTAATTTCAACTGTTTAAAATCTTTACCATAACCATTATGAACTTGACAATAGACTGTATTTAATACTGTGTTTCTTTAAAATATGTTTAAGGCATAAATTTTGTCTCTTACAGGCCATGTGAAGAGACCCTCAAGTTACAAGAAAATCTTGTAAATGAACTTAGTGACATTCACCAACAATTGCAGGAATTCCTCCTGTTGAAAAAGGAACCATCGAAAGAATTGGCTGAGCAGTTAGAAGAAGTTATAAAACAGCTTGATAGAAAGGAAGCTGTGGAAAGTGTGGGCAACAATGATACTATTTTGGATGTGTGTCCAGAAGTTTACAAGGGGACAAACTTAAGCTCCCTTGAGAATGTTTGGGTGATGACCAACTGTACCAATGTTAAACCTCTTGATTCTGTTGTAAGTGTTCTGGTCAACACTGTTGCATATCCCAAGCAAGATGAGGGCCATATTGAAACCATTATAAAAGGCATAACAGAGACTTACCCAACAGTTCAGGTCTATTTGGCAACAGGAAGTGACAATGTAATAAAAGCTACCCGAAATTATAAAAATGTTGATGTTGTTTTGATTGATAAAGCTCAAGTAGCTAAGGGATGGAACATTCTGGTAAGGAAAGCCTCTACTCCTTATGTACTGGTTGCACGTGATGTGTTTCACTTCACATGGCTAACACAACTTGAGAGGCAGATTCGTGTTATCAGTCAGATACCATATGTTGAAGTTGCTGGTGGATCATACCGTAACTTCTCTGGTCACTGGAAAGCAGGATGTGTCCAAACTACGATGAAGAACTACGTCTTAAAGTACCAAGAGGGATACTTGCACTCAAAGAATGAATGCATGTTCTGTGATTATCTTCAGGGACCTTTTGTAACCAAAACAAGTCTGTTCAAGCTTGATGAGATGCTTCCAAATGAAGTTTTGTTTGAAGACTGGTTTTCAAGTATTGTTCAGAAAGGCAGCTTAGTGATGTCATGCCCAGATGCTATGTATTTTACAACAGATTACTGGTCGTATTCCAAGAGAACTGATAGAGATGTTTGGACCCCTTTGGCTAAGAAATGGCAACTAAATAAAGTGCTTCTGCCAGAAGGGATAAAGCATTCCTTCTCTTGTAAAGACATTGAAGTTACTTGCGAACCTGACCATGAACTACTCCCTTTGTGCTGCCTAGAATGGTATGCTGATGCCTTGGCATTTTTTCAGAATTTTACTGAAGCTCACAATCTAACATTTGAACTTGATTGTGGTTCTGCATTGGGTGGTGTCAAGTTCAAAGGCCTTATTCCTTGGGATATAGATGGAGATTTGACTTTCCTTTATACTGGTATGAACATTTTTGGTGAAAATAGAACAATTGATTATTTCCAGAACAATGGGTACAAGTTACTGAGTTTTGAACCACAAGTGCAAGGAGGTAGTGCTGGATATGTGAATGTCCATTTCAATGGGTTTGGTATGGAAGTATGGGGAATGGGTGACCTGACAAATACAAGATATCTCCCCAGTGAACTGCAGAAATATGAAACATATACAAAAGCCAACATTGAAGGTTACTGGATTAATACACCATTTTCTCCTGGTTTGTTCTCAAGAAATCGCTATGGAAGAGAAGTGCTTAAACATTCTCAGTCCTGGCGTAGGACAGCTTCTAAAGACAGTTGGATTAATTATAAGTCTGGTAGGTTTATGCCTTGTGAGAGGTCAAGTGGTTATGGTTGTGTACATGATTTCCCTGCTGATGGTAACATCCCATTTTCAATAACTTAACCACTTTCATTTAATAATGCAGAGTGTTTGACAGATGAGATTTGTCCTGATATTGGACTGTCAGAAGTCTCTAGCCTGAATTAAGGGGAGATCACCATGGAATACAGGGAAGAGTTGTCATATTTTTCACTATTATTATTATTTATGGGAAATATTTAAACAGGCTTGCCCAGTTCAACTTAAAGCTGGTTTACATGGGGGCCTTTTACAAACAGGTACATGAAAACCAATTAGCTGAGGAGTAAGTCACATGTAGGGGTTTAGTTCATGCAGTTCACAACATTTGTTGAGGAGTTTGTTCTACATGTAGGTTGGTACTCTACATCAGCTTTTTACCTAACATCAGAACCTTTAAGATAGTGGCTTCAGTAATGGCTAGGCACTAGCAAAAACACTGCTTTGCCCTGCTGCTATCCAAGTCTAAAGAAACGATGACTCTTCAGCAACTACAGTATTTTAGTTTCTGCTCCAAAAAGTTGGAAATTTCATCTCTCTAACCCTTAAACTCCCATGAGTGACCAAGACAGAATTTTTCCTTACAACATCAATACAATATCAAGCAGACAAGTGATGCAAATAAAGAAAAATATTAATCAGGGGATTATAAGTTGATCTAAGACCAATTTCTCCAAACTAAAATCACAAGAACTGTATGGTAGACAGTAAGGAGAATTACTGATAAGATCTTGGGAGTTAAAGGGTTAATGAGGAATTTCAAAATAATTCAGGGAAGTACTCCTGGGGATCTTCTTTGAAGGTAGGGGGAGGTGGTCAAAGCTGTTTCACCTAGTGTTAATTATGCCCAGATGCCTCTACTGCTTCAAACCTTCATTAAACCCTTGTTAATATATTTAATTTAATCACCAATAAATTCACTTTTATGTAGAGTAAGTAACTGAGAGAGTGACAATCCATCGCAGCTTCCATAATCTGAAAGAATTATGTAGTTCTAGTCACACTTGGGACAGGTTGTATGCAGCTTGTTTGGTATTTAAGAAGTTATTTTTTTTCTACAAAAATTGAATTTATTTAATAAAAATTTACAAAAGCAATAGACAGCATGTTTTTTTTTTCATATACCATGGAACACAAGTCATAATTGCAGTTTTAGAACAGCAGGATTAGATGAATAGTTATTCCATGTAAAAATTAACATACAACAACCCCACAAAATTTAGTGTTAAGGTACTTAAATTCAGCTGAATTAACCAAAATAACCCAAGTAACTCAGGAATAATAACCTCTGGAACAGGAACATTTTTCTTCGTGAGAGTGTCCTAAATTTAACTTACATTTGAAAAATTCCCAGTAGGGTGAAAGAGCATTAATTTAATTAATTAAATTAATTTTCCACAACTGGCATCACCCACTGGTTTGTCCTCCAAACTACAAATGTATTCAAATTCATCTGAAATGATAAAAGGGGAAATAAAATTTTACGTTAACTTTTCGAGGTTTACAAAACATTTTGGGGAATAATTTGAGTGCAAATGACTTGAGAAGCAGTGAAACAATTAGTGACTTGAGAGTTACTTCATTCATTTGCTATGTTCTTTAAAGGAAAGTGCTTTGAAATTTGTGTGTGGCAAATATGAAAATGAAGAGGATAAGTTTCTTAAAAAAAACTAAGGCTTGTCGCTGGGGTGTTACAGGATAATTTGGTTTTATAGCAACCAAGTTGATAGTTTAAATTGGCCATTCTGAAGAGTTTTCATAGCTGACATTTAGAGAGTTAAAACTTCCTCATTCACTCCAACAACGACTTAACGCTGGAAATAAAATTAAATTATCTTGCAATGTGAAAATAGATATTTCACTAGTATGACAAAAGAAAGAAAAATATCAAGTTTACCTTGACTTTATCACTCTACTGGGTTCTTTACAAGCATTTTGAATGTGTGTTTTTACAGAAGTTTACTAATAAATGAGTAACTACATTAACTAAGTAATTGCGTCATGTAGGTGTCATGCCAACGGCTAAACATAATTATAAAAATAAAATTGGTTACTATTTTTTCACAAAAGACAAATTAAACAGACATCAAGTTGTTAACTATCTAATACAGTAGTACAATTTGCATGATTTACCTTCAGTAACAGGTTGAACTGATAGTCGGGCTGAAGTGAAGAGTGCCACTGACTTTAATGGACCATTGGTTGCCTTGTGTTCCTATTAAACACAAAAACAAACCATCAACAAACAAACAGGTTACTCCAAGTGTTGTGTACTTGCAGAAAGCATTTTACCAGTGAGAGCCAATGCTTTGCAGCTTTTGTTCTGATGAAGGGCTATGCTCCAAACATCAGCTTTGAAACTCTTTACAGTGACCCATTTACATCATCAACTTGATTAATGATACTAAATTACCTTTTTATACTCTCCCTTTGACCCAGCACCACAGTTCCTTTAGTACCTGTAATCTATGCCATTTAAATTTAAGAATTTGTTCATGCTTAGCGTGCATATATCGAGTTATAGATGCACACAGGAAGTTTGGAGAGCTCGAAAAATGTGTAAGAGTAGCTTGAATCACAGCAGAGAGCAACTCTAGCTTTTGAGAGCTCTCCAAACTTCCCAAGTGCATTCATAACTCAATATACACACAGCTAAAAGCATGAGCAAATTCTTTTATAACAGAGCGACAACAAGGATCTGCATGTAGAAGCCTTAATTGTGATAGAGTGCAAAATTCTCACAACGCACAAAAAAAGGAAATAAATGCCCCTATTGGCTGGTCAAAAACACAGCACATTTTATACTTTGGTTTGAGCTAGAACATTTGATCCAGTTAACCGATAACTGTGAATGAAAAGCTCAAAATTTACAGGGAAAATGGAGAAAATCAAACCCAAATGTCTTAAAGTGTCACTAAAAAAAATGCTCATGTCATCTTATTTACGCATGGACATGCATAAATAAAGATTTTGTTCATAGCGGCTCAACAGGACTTATATAGGGGAAGCATGCGTGCTGTTATAAAATTACTTTATGGATGAGTGAGACAGCTTACTTGATGAAGAGCTTTCAGTTCTTGTAGAGAAATAAAGCGTTTCATCATACGGACAAACTTTACATCCACCTAAAAAAAAACCAGTAAATATCAAAAACACAGTTTGCACCAGAAGAGGTACTCAAAAAAGAGAGGCCTAATTTTCTGATGGTCTGTTAAATTCTCCTTCCAACTTGCCTTCTATTTATTTTAAAACAAGGAGAATTTAATGTTGCATTAAAAGACATGAAGCTTTGATCATTCTATGCTGCCCTTAATTAAGATACACCTTCAGTCATCACTCCTGCCATAGGATACTTTATAGTCAACCAATCCATTATGAATGCAATACCTTTGTGAAAAAAGATAATACATTCAACCTTTCCTAAGTTTACAAGTCTTCTTTCAAAGTTATTTAATGTTGCCATTGCTACAACTTACCATGAACCATTTGGGGTTCTCTTTCTTAGAATTCCTTTAAAAAAAATAAATAATGAATCACTAAATGTAGATCAACTAGTTAAATATATCAGCAGAACTTGAATGTTTGTTCAAATTTCCTCTCTCACTATCCGTGATAACATAGTGAGTTACTGAGATTTGCATATGCAAATTTTTTCAAAGGCACCACAAAATGACCTCATGCATGGTAATAAAGGAAGGTGCTGACTATTAATTTTGTTATGATCATCCTCTAGAAGGATTGTGATGGCAGACCTTTGGAATACATACAAAAAAAACTTGTTGGTGAGCCCGCTGGTTTATGTATACAACAAACACCCAGCATACCGATATCAAAAACAGCACAGAGATACAAGTAGAGGACGAGTGGTGGGAAGGGAAAGAAAAAAGATTTGATCTGAAATATTTGATCAGTAATTTTGAAGCCAGTTATTACTTACGGGTCATAATGAGGATCTGCTTTATCAAATTGTGTATAATCCACATAACTTTCTTTGACAATCTACAGGTTCAAATGAAAATATATCAGTTTCTAAATAATGGTTGGAAGATTGACCACACATGACCATAATACACTTTTCAGAAATGGCTTGCTCTGGAAATCTGAAATCTGGATAAGTTTCATTTTGGATCACCTTCCCATCCTCCCCTAATTTTTTTATACTTCCTTGTCTCATCCCTGAATTCACTAAAACGTACTCAAACAACCATCTTTGAGCAGTTTCATCCAAATCATTTTTTTCTAATGGAGATATATGTTACCTGGCTTCCCCCCCCCATTTTTTTTGTAATACAAACATCAAATTAACCAATATCTGAAAGATTTAGAGGACTGTGGAAGAGAGCAAGAGATTCTTCTCGTAGAGGAGGAAGTAAGCTGTAGACTCTTACATACTTTGGGAAGATTTAGTCTGTAAAGTAGGTTGTCAACTATGGGGTTGAAACCCTCTTCAATGTGAGATTTTACCTCCACAATTGCAGCTATGCCAGGGTTTTTACAGTTACTGTGATAAAAGAATGCAAGGTGACCACTCTTCATTTGATCTCGCATAAAATTTCGAGCCTAAAATGAAAGTAGAATACAACCAAAAGAGATAAATTCCAAGTTCATTTGCAAAATTTACCAATCATTAAATAAATGCACCTTAGCAGAGATGAAATCATTTTGCTGAGCATTTTGACCATAAAAAGGGACCCTTAAATATTTATTAATTTTTAAGAACTTGGTTCCTCTCATCAGGTTTGAGCAAGAAAGGAAGCAAGAACTATTTTACTGTGTAATTTATTACAAATTGATGCTCCTCAAATAAAATATCTATATCTTTAATTAATCCTTTGAGCCTCATTAGCAACTTGCTTCTAATCTCTCCATGCAATATTACCTCCACATCACACATTAAGGTAACAAAAATATAGAAAACAATCACTAGAGAAGCTCTTGATTGTTAACCAAATTCTCCTTGTCAACATCTTAGGAAATGTATAGAGAACAGTATGGAGAATATGCATAGTGATGTTAGGGTGTAAAGGTTCATAATAGATGGGAAAATTTTCATATACCTGGTAATTTCTCACACCATCCCAACAGGCAGTTTGATTTGGTTCTTTCTTTAAGTCCTCAATGCCAAACTAAGATAATGTTCAGAGAACACTCCTGATTACCACTCACTGTTATTAACCCCCTTAAGTGATTAACAAATAACTGCACCCTATAATAACTAAATATTATCCAGCAAACAGGTCATGAGAAAATTCAAACTTATCAGGTCAAAGCTGTTATGTGTATCTTGATCTGACACCAAATTCTCAAAACTTATTTACAAGGAAATATGTAGCAGCTAAAGGAGAGAATTAACAATCAGATCTTGGGAGTTAAAGGGTTAAGTAATATTTATATTAAGTGGCTGGATAATACATTAATTGTAAGAACATAAAAAATTATACATCTCACAAAGATACAGTGTAAGTGAAAGACATTTTCTTGGTTTTAGGCATAGGAGTGTGGATGGTGTGGCATTGGTAAAGGGGAATTGGAAAATTAACTAGAATGATAGGTTTAAAAAATGGTAATTCTACTAACTTTAAGACTGGCACACTTGAAGTTATTGAGAACTTTCATCTCCCATAAAATTGAAGGAAGTTAAATAATGCAGAATAAATAAATGGATTTGGGTGAAATGAGGTAATGCTGGTGTAAACAGATTATCAAGGCTGAAAACACTTAAAATGTACAAAGGAAAAGAATCACAGCCTCACTTAAATTGTTTTATTATTGTAAATGTTGACTTCTAGAAGTAAGTTGTTGTACCTTTACATCTACTCCTTTCTCAAATCTGCTTTCAGGTTCAGATTTCATAAGCCATCTTGAGTATTGCACTTCCTGAAAAATTCAATGATTTAAAGTTGCAAATTCATCCCTTTTCATAAAGAAAAGTCACCCACAGTCACTGACAAAAATATAATAGTAACTACTTTAGTTAAGAATGTCATTTCTGTTTCTTAATCTTTTGAGATATAGAAAGCATTGAGATAATATGAGTGGGGCATATTTATACATTATTATATTCAGGTTTATTTGCTATTATACTTGGATACAATTTGTTCTAGAAGTGGGAGGGGATTTTGTACAAACAGAAGAACCCCGCTAACTCAAACTCTGTTAACCTGAACCCCCCCTGTAACTCAAACAAGGTCTGATTTCTTTCCAACCCATTTATTTTCAATCATTTACTATCAGCTAACTCAAACACCCAGTAAATCAAACCATCTATTCTGTCCCTTGGGAGTTTGAGTTACCACTGGGTTGTACTGTATATCATGACAAAGTTCTTAACCCTTTGGCTTGGAATGATTCATTGATTAATGAACTAAGTAACTTTTACTTCCTTTTGATTTTATTAACTAATTCTATTTAATATTAAAATAGTCTCATAATAATTTTTCACTTAGATTCATTTATGCATATCTTATAAATTTATCTTGACACAACAGACTGAGCAATAAGTCCAACAACATGTTACCTACTATGCTTTTTACACAATATCCTGTTTACAGGACACAAAAACAGTTGAGATCAGTAGTAACCGCACACTTACTTTTTTTGGAGTCTTGCTTGGTTTGGCACTCTCCTCTATGGAGAGAGTTCAGTTCATTAATTTATCAATAAACTGCATTTTCAAACAAAATTTAAACAATTCCCACTACATCTGTCATTTAACCTTGCTGGTAAAGTTAGGTTCCCTTCCAGTAGTGTAGCAAGCAGCACCTAGAGTGCCATATAATACAAGCAGTCCCTCCTTTTAAGCAGAGTCTGTCATGCATGTCAAAAAAAATTTTGAAAAAATTTATGTTTTAAGTGCCACGGGGAGCTCTTTTTACCTTTATTCTTTTACTAATATCATTTTTGACATAGCCAAAAAGGAGGGACTGTTTTGTTTAAAGGTGCTAAGACATCCCCCCACCCCCACCCACCCCCATCAAGTAATGTGATGTCCTATTATTCCTTTTATTATGTAATCAATGCAGCAAGATGAGGGAAATATTAATAACGTTCACTGTTTACGGCCTAGCACTCATTAAACGTTTTGGCTGTATCAAAATACACAAGCTCTTGAAGTCCTCCCTTTTCCTATAGTAAATAGTTCGAAATAGTAATTTCAGTAATTATTATGGCTCCCTGATGATAACACGTGACATACAAGGCGGTATAGTATTCGAAGCATACTAGCATGCAGGTTTCAAGTTCTGTGCAGATAGATAACATAACTTTCTCCTCGACTCCGATTAAGACTTCCGCTCAGGTTGTCGAAACGTCAATCACTACTACCGACAACAGTCCTCTTCAGGACTACACTCACCCAGACGATCAAACTACACTATTACATGTTACCCCCGAGTTCAAACCATTTACTGTATAACTAAATGTCTTACTCTACCTCTTTTTGCAGTTTTTGAATGTTTGTCAATGTCGACCTTCGGCTTCTTCTTAGGAGGCATCTTGAATCCCCTCCTAGTGCGCGCGGTGTCGGCTCTCCAGACTGAGCCCGCATTTCTTTCGTCTATTTCATGTGGTAACGCAATCCAGTGGTTTGCTTAACCGTCACGTCGATTCCTTAAAGAGACCTTGAGCTCTCCAGGGTATTAGCGGGCTTCTGATTTATCCGTACATGCGCACAGTTCTTAGATATGAAAGAAAACGATGGCAATCTCGAGTACCGGGTCATTTTGGCTCCTTGGCAGCGGGGAAGCCAAAATGACCCTGGACTCGAGAGTGACACGATAGTGAAAACACGTAGCTTGGCTACGGTCATGATAAAACTCGTTGTTTGTATTTTGACTCGCCCAACAGGCTCGTCAAAGGTATATTTGTAAAAATACTCAGCTGTACTGACACACCAAAACGTATAATAAGATATGTTATTTTATTAGGGTCCCCGAAAATTGTTTTGGATGGTAATTGATCAGTACTCTAGAGTGGCGTGGGGGGGAAGGAAGAGCAGAGGGAAGGTAGCCCTTGGGGACTTGGGTTGGGAGAGGGCGGGAAGCAGGGTCCTACCAACCAGGCTAAGGCCCTATATACATTTATATATATATATATAATTGTGGGAAATTGTACCAAATGCTGTAGGAAAATGCTCAATACACGTGAGTGTAAAGCGAAACACAATTCAAAATGACTAAAATGAAACACGCATGATTCTCTGTTTCTCTGAGTTTCATGCTTACGCACTCGTCAGACAGATTTAATGAAAAACATTCTTGTAGGCTAATTTATATATAGAAAAAAAAAGGTAGCTGCTGATTACAATAGGTTTTTGTAATATAATAGGTGAGAAAAAGCGAAAATTACAATGGATGTGGGTGTATTAATGAAGGACAATGGGGCAGTAGGTGTGAATATATTGACGAAAGTCTATTGTAGCAGGGAGGCGTCAGATGTTCTTTAAGTAAAACTTGTTTTCGTGACGCCATTTAGATATAAGTTCGGATCTTTTATTCCGCAAGTTGTTGCTGTTGGACTTAATAATCATGAGTTTTTCGGTCAGGCAAAGGTCGCATCTTTTCGTCGTGTTGTTGTAGGGCCTGGCTCTTGCAATAATGGACCATTTTATGTTGACGTTTACAGAGTTGTCCTTCAGTTGCCAGATGTATTTGGATAGTTCAGTGCTGTTAGTGTATTTTCTGTGTCGGAATGTAACCTTGTGTTGATTAAATCTTTGTTTAAAAGTTCCTTCGGTCAGTCCAATGTAGTTCTTAGGGGTCGTTTTGCCACATGCAGACTTATTAACCCAGCCAAAAGTGAAATCGGACGTTTAAGCAAACATATACTCGAGAATATCAACACTACTGTCAGACAAAAAAACTGGACTTAACCAATGGAAAAACTCCTACTCAGTGATCAACTTGTTCTCTGATATTCAACACAAGAACCAACACACTTTTGATGTCTTCGACATTGAAAACTTTTATCTATCTATCACCGAAAAGCTATTAACAGACTCTATCTGCTTTTCCAAACAATCCACTACTATATCGGATCTTGACATTAACATTATTATGCACTCAAGGAAATCACTACTTTTCAACAACGGTACGGCCTGGATCAAAAAAAAAGGTCCTTTGATGTTACCATGGGTAGCTACGACGGCGCGGAAGTTTGCGAATTAGTCGGTTTATTTATTCTCTGCGGTTTAGGTAACACCTACGGAAAATAATGCATTGGTCTGTACAGAGACGACGGACTTGTCGTATTCAAAAACATCTCTGGACCACAAGCCGAAAGAATTAGGAAAGACATTACCAGTCATTTCAAGAACAACGGACTCAATATCACTATACAGACCAACTTGAAAATCGTCAACTATCTCGATGTCACATTTAATCTCAACAATGGAACG